AAGTCTAATAAATTTTTTATCTACATATTCATATTGCTACAATATTTCTTAAAACAAAGTGTTGAGTATTTGCATGAGTTAGGTGCATATTTAAAGCAACTCATGTGCTGAACGCATGAAAATCATATGAATGAGCATCCTTAGAATAAAATAATAAAAGCAAATCGGTTCAAGACGAAAGAATGTTCTTCACCATGCAGGCTGTCTGAGGCTAATTACTCATGTAGATTTCCTTTTAGGTCTACGTATTCAAAGGATATGTTATATAAACTAGAGTGTCAGTGTTTTCTAAATTTAGATAAAAAACGCAATGAAATAAAAGAAACTACCTAACAATTCTTGTTACAAGTCTTTGTAATTAGACTTCTTTGTTTCACTGAATAATTTATTTTTCATTTTTCTATTTCCTATATTTTACTGTGCTCAATCTATATTTTAGTATACTCTTATTTTATGAGATAGAGATAAACAAATTGTTGTCATTAATGAAGAAAGTTAAATATTTTTGTTTATTTTGGTATCATAAAAATCATTGTTCATAATATGAAATTAGTGATCGTGCAGCTACTCAATTCTTTGTTCATGGTAGATTTTATTAAAAAATTACTTTCCTTGTTTTTTTTTAATCTTTTTAACACATAAATAAAAATTTATTTTCATATTATATAAGATAATATTTCACTTTCTTCTCTAACGATGAAGAGTTCCCTAGCTCTATTATTTTTTTCTTAAATATTCACCATGTATGTCTGTAGTTTTTTTGTTATTGAATTTTATATCTAAATAGAATGGTTGTAACACGACAATACTGAACAGACCTATTTTCTAATCGAATTTGCATAAATGTAGAGCTGAGGTGAATTCAAATATTATACAGATTGCAATGTCTGTCTGAATCCTAATGACATAACCGTTCCAACAAGGACGTCCCCCGTGTAGTTTGTCAGGACGCTGCAATACATGATATTTTGTTCATTCGTTAACGAGCAAGTCTCGTCAATCGATACCTTTCCTTTGTGTTCATAATTAGAGCTCAAAGTATTGATAAAACTTGAAAAAGATTATTCTCATTAGGTCTTTCTTCTCGAATTATGATTATTTTATTGAATTTCAATCTGAAATTTTTCCCACACTCTAGATTTCATAGCCCTTATCATATCTTGAAAGTTTCAGCCAAAATAGATGGCCGATTATCGAGAATAAACTATTCATTTTGGTTCAAAATTTGCAGGATATTATATAAAGACCATGAGATCTATTTTTGGGCGAAACTTCAGAATGAAATTCAGTAAAATGATCATAACTCTAGAAGAAAGGACTAATGGGAAGAATCCGTTTAGAGGTTTTATCTACACTATAAGCCCTAGTTATGAGTAAAATATGAACTCCAACGGAAAATATCAGTTGGCGAGGTTCCATCGTAAATTTAGCTAGTTTTTAATCGAATATTGATTACAATTTATTTTAATAAAATCAACAAATGAGTATCAAAATCAGATAATAAAACGAACAATATCTCATAAAGAACAAATCTGTCAACAATGAAATCTCTTCTGTTAACTTTCATCGTGTAATGTAGATACGTTTTTTCAAAAATTCCTAGCAGTAAAGTTTAAAAATTGGTATGAGAATCATTTTTTATTATTTTATTGGTCGGATTTTTTTGAATTCGTAGGAATTGCCTCACGAATGAAAAAAGATCGATATTTTTCAAATTTCAGTAGAAAATAATCTGAGTTAATGATATTTTGTTTTGAAATTCGGATTTCGGATATAAATTTTCAAAGGTTACAGTTGTTTTTTATAGTATGGATGAGAAAACTTGTCTGACAAGAGAATGCTTTCAACTAAGCAAACGCTTTTGATTTCGAACTCTGTACATAAAAAGCTAGAATTTCTGCCTCGAGAATAGTATATACGAACAAACCGAATAATAATGATCTTTCAATCTGAGAAGATTTTTGTTCATATGCGGATCTATTTTTCAGTAGAATGCTCTGAAAATTCCTTATATTCCACGGAAGATACCAGAGTCTTTTGCTTTTTAGGACTTTAAAAATCATGTTTTTCTATATTGAAAATTCATTCACTAGACAAAATTTTCTTTTCGTTTATAAATATACTCTGTCGGCTTTTTTTTATTCAAATAAGAAGCTATTAAATTTACTTTTAAGCGTTCGGAATAAGACTGTATCTAATTGTTTATATTTGCAAACATGAGGCGGTATCGGTTTTTGTTTTTGTTCAGGTCAAAGGAATAAAAGATTCAATGATACGATCGATTTAGCAAAAAATTTCGTCATCATAGAATTTAAAATAATTGTCGAGGGGTGCTTACGAAGACAAATATAAATATCACAGTGATTTTTTTGACTCCGCAACGAAATCTATGTAGGCTAGTAGAGGAAAACATCCTCTATCTAATGATTTATGTATTATCAAGTTCTATTACATACTCCTGAGATATGGATAGCCAGCCCTATCTCTGCCGTATACTATGGTAGTCATGGTAAAGGTAGCATCCTCTATTGACGTTTCGAGAGTACACAATAAAACTTGATAATACATAAACCATAAGATAGATGAAATCTTTCTCTATTAACCTACATATATTTCATTTGTGGGTAAAAACATTATAATTGTCTTTGAAATAATTGTTCTACCAAACCGTAATCAATTTAGTTATACTAATATCTCTTTATTAGATATTCAATTCGAAACGAGTCAAAGTTTTGATTTTTATGAAAACTTTTGTTTTTAGTTTCTGTTGAATCGATGATGAAAGTGGGACTAATTTGTTTCTATAAGAATGTATCTGAAATCAAAAGAAAAATTGAATAAAATTATTCGAAAACTTTTGATACAATTAATGAAAGATATGTTTATCATATATAAATTTTATTAATTTACCGATAATAAAGTGTTGTTCGTTTAATATCATAACCTCTTTGTTTAATTTTTTCTCTTAAATCGTCTAATGTTAAACAAGGTCGAATAGTTTCTGATCGTCTTCGATCATCACTTGCTCCGCCAACTTTTGCAATTTCTTCAATAATTTGTAATAGATCAGGACATTGTTCTTCAATTCGTGGTCGACCAGCACCACGACGATAAAGTTTATTTAATTGTGGATGTAATTCAGGTTTTGTTTCAAATAAATGTTCAACCTAAAAATAATCAAATAAAGAATTAAAATGAAACAAAATAAATTTATTTATTCATACAATTTTTCTTCGTTTAATTCGATATTTATTTGAAGCTTTTTGTTTTGATTGAAGACGTTTTAATTCATAAGCTTTTTTTTTTCTCTCTTTCATTAATTGTTTTAATTGTTTTCTATTTTCTGGTGTTGATAAACCCATTTGTCTAACTTGTACTAATGAAGCAATACGTTCATTTATAGAACTTAATTCTTTAAAAGCACGTTCTTGTGCTGGTTGTTTTTTTTGTTTTGTTAATGGGTCTAATGAAACATTATTTACAGTTGGTAATTCTTTTGGATCCTCAAGTATTTCTTCAATTGTTTTACGTTTTCTAATATAATAAGATTTTTTCTTATTTTTCTTTTTCTTTTCTTCATCATCGTCATCATCATCTTCGTCATCATCGTCTGGATCATCTTCATCAAGATTATTAATACTATTTGATTGTTCATCATCTGTTTTATTTTCATTCTTATCATCTTCATTTATTATATCATTTGATTGATCAATTTTAGTTTTTTTTCTTGTTGGCCGACAACGACTAGTTTTTGGTTGAGTTGAAGAAGAAGGTGATGATGAACGTTCAAGACCTTGATTTGAAGGTGTTTCAAATTGATTATATTTTTCTAAATATTCTTCAATTTTCTCTTTAACATATTCTTCATTCCATTTTATTTCATTCCATTCAGCTTGTGCATTATAATGTTTGTCCTATTGCAAAACACAACAAAAAGAATTTTTTTTTTCCTTTTGTTTTAATTAAATAATGAACTTACAGCTCGTTTTTCATTAGGTCGAGCTTGCATATAAGCATCGATAAATGTTTTATAAAGGCTTGGACCTTGAATTTTCTTACTTGATTTTGTAGGCATAACGAATACTGTCAATCTACACCAGAACGCAAATAATGACACTCACCAATGCAATATGTATATATATATATATATATATATATATGAGAGAGAAAAAGAAGAAAAAAAATACTACTAAAAGTAGTAAAATAAGCTTGCCGATGACCTTTTCCTTCGTGCTCGCTTAGAAACGGTCACAAACAAGAGTAACCAATGGTCATTCTTTTTCTACGGCTTTCGACGATAACGACGTCATATCTATTCAATCAAAAGGAACACAAAACAAGAACAAGACAATATTGGTAAGTATGGATCAAATCACGAGAATATGTAACTCGTCATCAGCCATACGATAGGTATAGGGTGCGAATATCAATGGTGATCGCCTTTTAATTTCTATCCTCATACCCACACCTCTAAATCTAAACACAGATAAGACTTCACAACCGCGATTCACTACGTCGAAGAACTTGATTACGATATTAGCATTTATTTTTGCTTGAGACTTTCTCGTTTAAATAGATCACCATGAATATCTACCATATGATATACGTATTAGATTTACTAAAAGCCTACCACTCAGCTTGTCCACCTCGGAGATTACTTGAAGACAAGCCTCGCCTTCTCATATAAATGGTTAGTAGTATGTTCGAATGGTTCAATCATCTCCATCTTGGAATGATAATTATATTATGTACAAATTGAGATATTGGATTGCCATGGAGAGCACATCATAATCAATGCAATTTAAAGTTAAAATGTGTGAACTTGGTAGAATCTGACGATGGTCTGATAAAGCGCTATGTCCTTCATTGAAACTCATGTGGTCACATTGTGGACAGCTGCTTGATTCTGTATCAACGAGTTTCTTCCGTGACAACTATATGTGTTGGAAAGAACATGCTTTTTTTTCGAACTTTTCCTTTTTCATTAGTGAAATATTTCCGTAGTTGATAGCATAAGAAAGTAGTTCTTAATTAGCACTCAAAGTTTTTGATCAAAATGCATCTTTTATCTTGCAATTTATCTATTATTATTATTATTAATATTTGTTTCATCATAAATAATTGTTATGATTTATTTCATAATTTGAATTAAATGAATATGTATGTATTCTTCTCAAATAATCACATTTATTGTAGAATGAAAGAACAAAATCGACAAAATCTTCTATGTACTATTTTAATGTTTGAAAAAACAATATTTGATTACTATAGATTGAATTCATCTTCCCAATCTTTACATCGATAGGATTTCATGTCTTTTATTTTTCCTAAGGATTTTTTTACCACGTCCATGAAAAAGTATCATTCCACCGTGTCCAAGACAATATCTATAGGGAGTATCATGATTCTTGTGTAATTCTTGTTTTAGAGAATATTCATGATTTTTAAACGACAAATTGTACCATACATCGATTTTGTCTTATTTTTCTAATTGGATGTCACTTCTTTTCCTAGTAACTGTTTAATATTATCGTGCTCGATCGAAATCTTGACAATGTCCACTAGGAAATCTGAAGTACCAATACTGGACTGCTGTTACAGTTGAATCGTACATCCATAGGTATCATTTTTCGAATTGGCACGGGATTTTCTTCATTATCAACTAATTTCCATCGTTTCGACTTTGATAAAGAAAAAAAAAGGAACTATACTGTTCTTGTCCATGATAAATCTTTACGATTGGTGTTACGTTCGAACTCATTGTGTCGTATAGTTGCATTTATTCGTTATCCTTGTCATTATGGGATGTTGAAACTATCGAAAAACAAACTAATCTAAAGCAAGAAAAATTTAGAAAATTTGATTTATTT